TGCCCCGAAATAATTATAATAAATCATCCACTACGATAAGTAAATAACAATGCAAATCAAAGTATAATATCCTTCCATTACATATGATTTAGTTGTACAAAAGGGTGACACATGCAAATATACATTCATAAGTCTTAATCCTGAATCTACAGCATGTGTCAACAACAAATATGTGAAATAGAAGTTAAACAGATAATAAAAATGCCCTGAAGGCTACAACTTTCCAAGACTATACTTGGTTACATCAAAATGGATTTAAATCCAATACATATAAAGCCCTAGGCTTGTACAAAATAATAACAAATAAACAAAATGAAGCTTTTGCTTCAACCCTCCCAAGATACTTCCTTGGCGGAGGCATCTCACCAACACTTGAAAATAATTTTTCCATATAGGGTGAGCCAAAACCTAGTAGAAATGATCCAACACAATAGATGAATCTTAACAAATATATAAGGGTGAAATGCACATGCAATACCCATATCAAAACGTTTTACATTTCTTTCCCAAAACCATGTCACGCTCAGTTTATATCTCAATTCTCAAGTCATGCCTTTTACAATAGAAAACAAGGGGGAAATCTCAACTGGTACAACCTTTCACGAATATTTTGTCCGCGGGAAACTATCAAACGACACCCATGTAAACGTAGTCCATACAAGCACTACTATTTTCATTTTACGGATATTTCGTCCACGGGAATTGGCTCCCATGTATACGTGTGTTTTTCGAGACTTTCACCTTGGACACACAAGCTAACTAAATTTGGTGATACACACCTCTTTTCTACTTTCTCCCATTTTTTCTCAAAATCATATACATTTGCAATGTATTAAATGAGCAACAATGTTCAATGTACATGGATGAGAAATTAGTTTCAATTTACCTAATCCTCATGCAATTTCTACAACAATCATAGTTGTCCTCCACCGATAGCCCAAAACAGATATTTCTAAACTAATATAAAATCTCCAATACATATAAACTTTCCAAAATTCAAGATGTGAGCGATAATACATATTCAACTCCACCATCCATATCAATATCCATCCAATTTCACATTTTCAATATCAATTTCATTTATTTATACAAAATAAATATTTGAGACATTTAGGGCAAAACCCCTTTTTTCTTCCAAAATTCACTCCGAGTACCAAATCAACAATTCTAACACAACTCAACCTCATTTCCAATCCCACAACCATTTTCAATACATCCAATTGAAAACCCCTCTTTTGATTTTAAACCAAAACCCTAGGTTTATTCAAAATCCTCCAAAATCACAAGATTGTTTTATAAAAAGAAATAGCTAAGTTAAAAATCATAAAAAGATATAGAGAATTCATACCTCATAGCTAGAAGACCAAGGAGAGAATGGAGAAATCTCAAGAAAGCCGAAATCAAACTTTGTTCGGGTGAAAACAAAGCTCTAAGTGAACTCTATCATTTTCTCAAAGGAAGTAGGGTGGAGAAATCAATGGATCCAAGTGTTTTAGAAGAGAGAATGTGAGTTTTAGAGAGAGAATGTCTCAACTTAGGGTTTTTAGAAAGTTTAGAGAGAGAAATTTGAAAAAGCGATGTAAAATAGCCTTTTTACGAACTGATATATGCGCAGCTCGCTTAAGTGCAAGACTTGCTGCTCGAGCGACCAGATATAATAAGTTGTTCCGCTCGAGCACAAAATACACACTCCCAGTAGTTTTGCAGACAGAGGTCGTCGCTCGAGTGCAAGAAGCTTCGCTTGAACAAAGAATACAAACTCCCAGTATTTTTTGCAGACCTGCAAAAGTATTGGAGTTCCACAAAGATCGCTCAAGCGCAAGAAACTTCGTCTGAGCGAAGGGACAAAAATTTGGGCAACAAAAGTTCAAAAAATAAGTTTCCAACCTATTTCAAAAACAACCACCACAACCCAAAAGCCAAACTTAAAGAAGTATAAGTAAAAACAAGACATGAATAACTATAAAATACAACGAAACTTGAATTCAACACATACAACGGGTCGGGTCTGAACCAGAAACACTATAGTTGTATATGTATTTTTTGATTAGGGTTTCAGTGAGTGTGACAATGTTATGGAATGGCTAAGAGTATCTTCACTTAAACCTTCAAAATTTGGTATGTTAATTTTTTTTGAAGACTTAGGTAACAATTTGACATAGGCTACCCGATATATCAAATCTATTTTTATATTATTTTTAAAATTTAAAATCTTTTTAAAAAATTAAAAATTAAAAATTAAAAAAAAAATCATTAAGGGGTCTTCATGTCAAAATTAGCATGAAGGAGTGATATCAAAAGTCATATTAGTTTTTGACACACTGGGTGAAATTGATATTTTCATTTCAAATGATTGATGCTTGCAAAGATTTCAATTGCCCCATTCCAGATGATTGATGCTTGCAAAGATTTCAATTGCCCCATTCATTCTTCTCACTTAAAAACAATAAATAATTTGTACACAAAAAAAAAAAAGAAAAAAAAGAAAAAAAAAAAAGGAAAGGGAAAAGAACAAGGAAAAAGAAAATTTTCAAATCAGTTTAAAAGCTAAAAAATAATTACAAATTAATTATAAATTTTATCAATATTAATAATTAAAGTTGTAAACTTTTCTATATATGTGTACTGATTTTTTCAACTTACATATGATGGGTTAAAAAATAATTACAAATTAATACTAAACTTTATCAATATTAATAATTCAAATTGTAAACTTTTTCATATATATGTAATAATTTTCTCAACTTACATAAGATGGATAACTTTTCCCCCCCCAAAAAAAATACATTAAAGAAAAATAAAATAAAATAATTTAATATGTGACTCGAATTTATTTTTAGTTTCAAATTGCTTGTGCTTGCTTAAAATAGAAACATTCAATTTCTATGCAATTTTTAGAGCACGTAACTTTTTTTGAAAAGAAAAAAAAAATTCAACGTAACTTATCGAAGAATTGAGTAGTTATTAAATAATTATTATCCTATTCTAATTTTAGATACCGAATGTCAATTTTAAATCTTAGTAAATTTGTAGAATTATTTTACTTTCTAAATTAAAAGTAACCCTAAGAATAAACAATGCATCCCAATGAAATGCTTACCTTTTTTTAATCTTTTTACTAAAGTCAATAAAATGTTTTTTTTTTCACACGACTATTTTTTTTTTTTTTATTACAAAAAAAGTTAGTCCACTAAAGGGTATCTACATATTCTTAGTTAATTATATTTCTTTACTCTTACATTATTCTTACATTATTGTATTTCTTTCTTATCAAATTCTAATATTAATGTCAAATTTATTTTTTGTTACATTTAAAAAATAATCTACTTTCCGACTTAGGGCTGGTTTGGCATAGACTATATAATCCATCTTTTTATCTTTTTATCTTTTTTCTATCACATCACCTCTCTACTTTTCTGCACATCTTTTCGTAAAAAGACAAAAAGTACACTTTTTTAGGACACCCGAAACCAACCCTTAAAAACAATCTTATCATAGACCATTTACTAACTTGGCTTCTCAAAATAACTTATCACACATTTTTATTTTTTATTTTTTAAAAATTTAAAATGAGGCCACCAATAAAACATGGTGTTCTTGTCACAAACTCTTTCTTTACTCTTGTATTTCGAGTTCTAACCCTATCCCTTCTCTTATGAAATGAATGTCTACATTGAAATCTTGATCATATTATGTAGAAGAACAAAAGTGAAAAGTACATAGAATCTATATTTTGATCTAACATGAATCTTGTAACAAAAAAAACTATGAGGTCATTGTACACATTCAATTTTAATTTTAATTTTTTTTTTTTTTTATTGTCACATTTTTTTTTTCCTTTTTTTTTTTTTTTTTGGTGCCAATTTATTGTTAATATGCATCATTTATTTTCCACACCCTTTCTTTTGGCCTGGCCAAAAACTGGAACCTCTTTCCATAGTAATCAAATAAATAAATCAAATATTATAATCAAGCTATAAAAATAAATAAATTTTACGAACTTCTCTTATTTTTTGATGTGGCACTTATCATGTCATTGAAATGGGTTTTATTTCATTTTTCAAAATTCATTACTGTACGGCATATCAGTAGTATGAAAAGTATTTTTAATATTTTTTATAAGAAAAATAATTTAATTAAAGAATAGATTTTATTGTTGAAAAAGTGAATAGCTTTTAGTAAAGGTGCTATTTTAGTAAGTGTAATGCTCGGGTTTGAGTCCGTCGTTGTCTAGTGCTTATTGAAAAAATAAAAATCCCTTCCGTGCGTGTGCAGCTCGTGAAGGGAAGAAAAAAAGACCTTCCCTTGAGATTGTTCCCAGCTTCACAGTTTGGCACAAGTCTAACAAGATTCAACCACCAAGCTTCAATCAATTGGTGTCACCATGCATTCAAATGTCAATCAAAGATCACCAAGTCTCGGCAATCAATTGGTCACCATTCGCGTGTCAATCAAAGGTCACCAAGTCTCCGGCATCCTAGGGTCAAAGGCAGCAAAATTGTCGGAGATCTTAATCTCATTGCATCTCTGTAGCTGACCTTGTCAATATAATGTACCAACCACACATAGCAAACATTGAATTGGGCAAAATCTCACTCAATGCTAACAGGCCATTCAATTTATAGTGGGTGATTTTCAGATGTCATCTGTTAATCCATAAGCAGTCCAATGCTAGGTATAATGGCATCTGTTAATCCACTAGTAGGCTTTGTCTACCCAACATCAAGAGTAAATAAATTTTAGGTATAATGGCAACACGACGTGACGGTATGCCCAACACGCTGATCCTGTTGATCACTTCATGCACAACCACCACCTGCAATTATGATTAAAAAAAATGAAGAAAACATGGCTTATAATTAATACAATCACAAGAAATATATCTGTAACAAGCCTAAGATAACCAAGAAAAACCCAAGGAGAAAGATATATGTAACATTTTTATGTTTATCAATAAGCACCCAACTGTGATCCCAACTTCAAGATTCAGTAAGCAAAGATAAAGGAAAAGGAAAATATAGATGAAATTACAACATTTTTTTAATAGCAAATGATACATTCCACAATGAATATCAAATTGTTTCGAGTTAAATTACAAACAATTTTTCAATCAATGAAAAACCTAGAAGAAGAAGAAAAAAAAAGTGCCAATTGCCTACAAAAAAAGACAAACCTTGATGTGGGGGAGACTGGCTTTAAACTTGCCGGAAAACCTTTTCCGCCGCTTCTATCGTCCGTTTGATATCCTCTGAGGTATGAGCTAAGCTAGTAAACCCGGCCTCAAACTGTGAAGGCGCAAAGTAAACGCCTTCCTCGAGCATGCCTCTGTAAAACTTCGCAAACTTTGCAGTGTCACTCTTCTTCGCATCCTCAAAGTCATAAACTGGCCCTTCTGTGAAGAAAAACCCAAACATCCCGCTTATATAACTGCCACAAAATGCATGCCCGGCTTTCTTCCCAGCATCAACAATGCCTTGGACGAGCTCACTTGTGATCTTATTTAAGTACTCATAACTTCCTGGCTCTTTCAACCGCTTAAGAGTGTGAATTCCTGCAGCCATTGCCAATGGGTTTCCACTTAGAGTCCCGGCTTGGTACATGGGTCCCGCTGGTGCAACCATCTCCATAATCTCTCTCCTTCCTCCGTATGCACCGACCGGCAAGCCACCACCGATGATCTTCCCAAGAGTGGTTAAATCGGGAGTTACTCCAAAATATTCCTGAGCTCCACCATAAGACAAGCGAAACCCGGTCATAACTTCATCAAATATCAGAAGAGCGCCATTTTCTTTGGTGATTTGATTTTTTGGAGATCCTCAAGGAAACCAGGTTTAGGAGCGATGAAGCCTGAGTTCCCAACAACGGGCTCAAGTATAACCGCGGCGATCTCTCCCTTGTTCTCGTCGAATAGATTTTTAACAGTTGAGATATCATTGAAAGGGGATGTTAGGGTTTCGTAGGTGGCTCCTTTGGGAACACCGGGCGAGTCGGGGAGCCCTAGGGTGGCAACCCCACTGCCTGCCTTTACCAGAAATGGATCTGCATGGCCATGGTAGCAACCCTCAAACTTGATGATCTTCTCACGACGAGTGAAAGCACGAGCCAAGCGGATAACACCCATGCATGCTTCTGTGCCCGAGTTGACAAACCGGACCATTTCTATACTTGGAACAGCTGAGATGACCATCTCTGCCAGATCATTTTCTAGAAGACATGGAGCACCAAAGCTTGTTCCCTTCTTCATTGTTTCAGCCAAAGCTGCAAGTACCTGCAAGGTAAAAATTTGTCCAAGAAGATTTGTATTTAAAGTCATAACACTGTGTAATTCACATCAATTGTTTGTGAGAACTCCAAGACATTCCTCTTCATTCTCTTTTTTTTTTTTTTCCTCTGTAGGGAAAACAACTGCTAACTTGGCCAACCCTGTTCTGCATGAAAGGCGATTTTCCAATCAATAAAAATGAAAAGCTTTCTCCATTGAAATCATATCCTTAAGGTGTGACAAAAGGTGTAATTATAGCAATTAATGATCTTATTTAAGAGGGTGTTCCCTTTGTCAAATGGTAAGTCTAAAGTGTCATTGTAAAATGCGCCAACTTTTATGGAAGAAATCATAAAAACTGTTAACAAAGACACCAAATCCCTTTCACTGAAGAAATGGATTTGTGATACTTCCATTGTTGGATATCCACATTGCCTCTAGATGAACGTTATCTTAGATTTTCAAATGCCAAAATTAAATCAGGGAATAGCAGTAGGAATAGAACCTCATCATCTGCGTGACCAATGATGGCTGGCCCCCACGAACCAACATAATCGATATACTCATTGCCATCTATGTCCCACATTTTAGAGCCCTTAACAGAATCCATAATAATAGGTTGTCCGCCAACTGATTTGAAAGCACGTACAGGAGAATTTACACCTCCGGGCATCAATTCCTGTCAGTATTAAATGAGTTGGCAAGATATTTGAAATAAATACTTCCATTTGATCTCAGTAAAAGATAAGAGTAGAATATAAGAAGAAAATATAATAAGCTAAGACGCATGGAAACTTTTAAGAATGTGATCTGTCAATATCAACACTAATACTCATCAGACCCTCCCCAACACCGACACGTGCGGATACGCATTCAAATATGTCCTATAAGTTTATAATTATTTTTTAGAATTGGACACTAGGGGGACAAATGTCCAACCATCACAATTTTGAAGGAAAAACTTGGAAGCCAATAATTAAAATTCAGAGTGTGGATTCAAGCCTATTAATCCTTCCTCCTTTAGAATTTTTTATTTTAGGATCTTGAAAGCCTAAAACTTCCATTTTATTTATGAATAGAGCCTTCTAAAATAGATTTTAGAACATTTAACAATAAAAAAAATAAAATTGATATTGCTTTTGTGTACATGTGTAAAAATATATATATTTATTTCTTGTCTTGTCGTCTCTGTCATGCCGTGACTAGATTTTCAAAAATTGTTGCTTCAATGTGTCTATATCATGTCGTATTCATGTTGAGAGTCCATATTTGTGGTTCATAGATAATAAGAGGTTCAATCTAGAAACAATTCTAAACACAAACCTAACTCGAAGGCTTATTAGTGCGGACCATCAAAGATCGGAGTGCATAATCATGTAATCTAGTTCCGTCTACCTAAAAATCTGTTCTCAAACATAACATTGCATTCACTCCATTCTGACTTTGAACAAGTTCGTTTCAGGCCCACTCGATGTCCCTTCCACTAACAATAACTCTTCACTTTTTCTTAACCTCAAATTTGACAACGAAAGCCTTATTTTTTCAATTTGATATAACTCACATTATTTTAATAAACTCACCTCACTCTGAAAACAAGGTTGAATTTAAACACAAATCTAGAGACAAACCTAACTAGAAGGCTTTGTTACAATCAGTATGGACCCTTTGGAGGTGTAGCTGCATAATCATGTTAATCTAACGAACAACATGTTCTCAAATAGGATATTTCAATCCATTATAACTTCAACAATGTCCCTTTCAGCCTGTTTGATCTAGTCCCAGCCACTTAATAACTCGCATTTGATAAAGGAGCCCATTTTTTGTTTCATAACTTGCTTTGGATTAAGGAACCCCCTTCACTATTCAGTCTTTAGTAACAGATATAGGATGATTAGTTCTTTAATACACATGGTTAATTTAGCTCCAGTAGACTGAAAACCAAGTTACGCTTTTAAAAATGTTGAACCTAAATATGAGTGGTAGACTTCCTCAGCAGAAAAATTCCCAAAAGCAGCCCAACAAACTAACATGACTACTAGCTAGGTAAGAGGGGTTTATACAACTGATGAAAGCAAATTAAATGTAAATTAGTTTCTTGGAAACTTGTCAAACTCTTCACTGATATGGACCCTAAAAGATATATTTTCATTTTGTCTTACTCAAGAATATGCAAATGATACATTTACATGGATTATTATTGTCTTACATATTAAAAAGTTATTACTTCCTTTACCGGTTAACGCTTTATGATATGTCACTATATACAAGTAATGTCATGTATTCTACTGTTATGTTATAGCACATACTTCTAGTCAGTATATTTTTTTGCAAAATTACTGTGTTAGATGGCGATATCTGTTTCTATGGTATGTTTGTATATGCTGAAAATAAACATGTTTTGAGGGCTCCTCTATTTAAAGACATCCTTGATGTCTCTACCCTTTTTTCCTCTGCTCCTCTTGTGTGTCTTGGGGATTTTAATGCTACTAGATATCCCTCTGAAAAAGCTGGTGGTTCCCCTTCCTGGTCTGGTACCAAAGAGGAATTTAATTAGTGTATTCTCTGTGCTGAGCTCACTGACCTTTCTCATACTGGGCTGCCATTTCACTTGGGCCAATAAGAGAGGGGATGGTGCTTTTATTGCCTCAAAACTGGACAGAGTTCTTGTTAATGAGGCTTGGATTACTAAATTCCAGAATTCTTATGCTAATTTTCTGCCTTCGGGTACTTCTGACCATTCACCTAGTGTTGTTGAGCCCCAAGCTAAGGGCTTTCTGAAACCTTTTAAATGCTTTGATTTCCAGTGTGATCATGAGGAGTTTCTTCCTAGTGTTTCTGGGGTGTGGTGTAAATTTATTAGGGGCTCTCCTATGTTCAGAATTAGCCAAAAGTTAAAGACTTTTAAACCCATTTTGAAGGCTATCAATAAAAAGGAATATAGTGAGATCTCTACAAGGGTTGTCCTTGCCAAATCTACTCTTCACAGTGCCCAGCTGAAGCTTGACAAGGACCCTTTGAATACTGCCTGGCAAAATCTGGAGAGGGATGCTTTTAGTAAATATGTGGACTTGTGTAAAGTAGAGGAGGGTTTGGCGCATCAGAAATCTAGAATCCAGTGGCTTGGACTTGGGGATAGAAACACTCAATTCTTTTTTAAGTCTGTTAAGGGCAATGTCAATAGGAATAGAATCAATAGTGTGACTCTTGGTTCTGGGGATAAGTTGGGGATGTGAATACTGCTTTTGTTAATAATTTTTCAGATCTATTTGGCACATCTTTTAATGATGGTTATCATGGGTTGGAGAGGGTGCAAGCTCTTGTGGATAGGACTGTTACTCCTCTCTAGTCTGAGATGTTAGCTAGGGAGGTTACTGACCAGGAGATTAAGGATACTTTCTGGTCCCTTAACGCTAATAAGGTTCCTGGCTCTGATGGTTACCCTCCTAGCTTCTTTAGAAAAGCTTGGAATGTGGTTGGTAAGGATGTGGTGGCTGCTATTAAATCTTTCTTCACTTCTGGGGAACTTCTCCTGGAAATTAACAACACCATCATTCCTTTGATGCCTAAAGTCCCTAACCCTTCAAAAGTGGGGGATTATAGGCCTATATTGTGTTGTAATACGATCTATAAGTGTATTGCCAAAATCATAGCTAATAGACTTAAGTTGGTCCTCCTTGATCTTGTTGACCCTGTCCAATCTGCCTTTGTCCAGGGGAGGAGAATTTCAGATAATATCTTCTCATCCCAAGAATTGATGAGAGGTTGCCATAAGAGTTCATCTACTCCTAGATGCACCATGAAAGTGGATATTATGAAAGCCTATGATAATGTTAGATGGGAGTTTATGATTGATGTTCTGAAAGCTATGGGGTTTCCCCCATCTTTTATCCACTGGATTCAAGCTCGTATGACCAGGAGACTTTAAAGGGGCTAGGGGGCTTAGACAAGGGGACCCTATGTCCCCTTACCTTTTTGTTTTAGCCATGAAAATTCTTTCTAGAATTTTGAATGAGAAGGCCTCCCTCCCTAATTTTAAATTCCATTGGAGGTGTAAGAAGACTAAGATTGTGAACCTTTGTTTTGCAGATGATCTTATGATTTTCTGTAAAGGAGATACCTTCACTGTCCAAGCTATTAAGAATGGCCTTGATGAGTTTTAAGCTATGTCTGGGCTCTCTCCTAGCCCTAATAAAAGTCATATTTTTTTCCCTGGGTATGAGAGGAAGTTAAGGGATGAGATTATGGGTATTTTGAAGTTTCTCGAGGGTCTTCCTGTTAGATACCTTGGGTTCCACTCATTTCTACCAAACTTAGGGTTGTTGACTGTCAGCAACTTGTTGAGAGAATTACTAAGAGAATTAAGAATTGGACTAACAAATGTCTTTCTTATGCCGGGAGGTTACAGTTGATCTAGTCTATACTCTTTTCTATGCAAGTCTATTGGTCTTCTCTCTTTATCCTTCCCAAAAAGGTTGTGAAAGAGATTGAGGGCCTGTTTAGGTCTTTTCTTTGGTCTGGTTGTAAGCTTAAGAACCATGGGGCTAAGGTCTCTTGGGAGAAAATTTGGTCTGGGCCTTAAATCTATGGAGGTTTAGAATAAGGCTGCTATTGCTAAACTTATTTGGTTCCTGTTTTCGAGGGGTGAGCAGGTTATGTGGTGTCAATGGGTCAAATCTTACCTGTTAAAAAAGATAGAAACTTTTGGAAGGTCAAAATCTCATCTGATTCATCCTAGGTTTGGAGGAAAATTTTGGGTCTCAGACCTATTATTATCCTTACATGAAGTATGTTGTTGGGGATGGCACAAGCATATTTCTCTGGTTCGATAATCGGCTAAGTTTGGGAAGAGTATCCTGTATGCCACTGCTTTAAATGGAGAGTCTAGAGTGAGTAGGATTGTTTTTAATCTGTCTTGGAGATGGCCTTCTTCCCTCACTGTTGATATTTTGTAATCTGATCCAATCCAATCCTTTTCTTCTCAAGACTAGTCCTGATAAGCTTATTTGGACTCCTTCTCCTAATGGTCTATTCTCTATAAAATTTGCTTGGAATACTTGGAGAATTTCTTTTGATAAGGTCTATTGGTCTGATTTGTTATGGAATGCCATCAATATTTCAAAATCTAGCTTTATTACTTGGTTGGCTATTCAAAACAGGTTGAATACTGGGGGGATAGGCTGAAACTGTTTGGCATTGCCCCTGTTGCTACTTGTCCTTTATGTCATTATCACTTGGAAGATCATTCCCACTTGATTTTTAACTGTCCTTTCTCTAAGAAAGTTTGGCTGTAAATTAAAACAAAAATCAATGTAGGCCTGTGCTGAATTGGTCTAATCTAGTGGCCCATATTGCCAAATCTGTTAGGGGTAAGCCTCTGGGTCCCATTATCTCTAGGCTTGCATTCACCTGTTCTGTTTATCTTATTTGGCTTGAGAGGAACAATAGAGTTTTTACAAAAGAGAAAATCCCTAAATAAGCGGTTGCTTTGAATATTTTTAACATGGTCAGGTTTAGAGTATTGTCACTCAAAAACCTGAAGAGGAATCCAGATGATGCATAGTTCTTGTCTACTTGGAGATTGCCAACCTCCATTCAGGTTCCCACTTTAAGAAATCTGTGTAAACTAATATCTCTTGCAAGTGTTCCTAGTTGCTGCTGCAGTGTGCAAGTTTTGAGAAATGTGATGTTTGGAGAATTGTGGGTTGAGTGTGGTGAGATTCCTTAAAGAGGGTTGAGTGGTTGTGAGCTACCAGTAGTTCTAATCTTTTAATTGGTTTTTCCTAATTGTGTGGTTTCCAGGTTGTCAATTTGGCCTCTTCTTAGGGAAAGTGGGTTGAGTATCTGTGAGCATGTAAATAGGATGTTGAGGGAGTGGTGGTAAGTGGTAGGTTAAGTAAAATTGCAGTACCACATTTTTTCCTAACTGGTTGTTTTTGCAGGTTTCTATCTGTGCTGGTACCTTGTTAGGGAATTTGTTGTTGAGGGCCTAGTGATGTGAGGATACATTTTTGGATTGGTTTCTATATTGCTACTATACCTGTTATCTTTGTTGAGATTGGTTGTATTTTGAGGGTTGAGTGTATTAGCTCTATATATTAAGTGTGACTTGTTGCAAGTTATTTTCTTTTACCTTCAGATTGGTTCTAAGTTTGGGTGCTAGTATCTTTGTATGGTATTCTCAGGTTATTTTAAGTGTTTATACCTGGTCTAAAAGAGGCAACCTGGAGGATCTGGCTACAGCTAGGGGCCATTCTCCATGGAATTCCCTCTTGGACAGCCTTAGTTTGAACACTGAAGTAGTTGTTATGGCGGTTGTCAAGTGGACCAGGTTGCATCTTGCGCCCGTTCCAGCAACAGTTCTAGACTTGCTAAATCCCTCTGGCTGCACCCGTTCCAACAACAGTCCTAGACTTGCTAAATCCCTCTGGCAGGTAGTTCATGCTGTGGAGAAGTTGGTGATCAATCAGTTTGGCATGTGTTTTGTTGATATTATGAGGGCCAGGCTGCAAGCATGCGCTAGTCCTCGTATTGGTGTTTCCAAAATGGTCAAATGATGTCTTATTTCGTTATACATTTGTGTTCCAGCTAACTTTCTCCAACAGGAGGTTTTTTTCTTTAGCTTTGTTTTGGTATGCATATTATGTTGTATGTAGGATGTATATTGGTATGTTTATATTCAAATTGGACATCATATTGTGCTTACCCCTTGCAGGCTGTGCTTGGGGACCCAGAGTGCTGTCTTGTTAGAGTGTTGGCTCTAACTGTTTTGTATGCTGCTGAGTCTGGTGATGCAGAAGTAGTATCTACTTCTGCTTTTCGCTATTGCTGTGGAGTCTATGATGCTCAGGTGATTAACCCTTTGCTGTTGGATATGTGTTACTGCCCAGGATTTACTCCTGCTGCCACTGTTTGGTATAGCGTGCTGGTGGTATTCTGCTGTTCAAGTCCCCTATCCTCTGTGGACATGGCTCTTGAAAAAATATGTTGTTGCCATTGACTACACTTTTTGGTATATTGTTGTCTATTATTATGTAGTGGTGTCGTCTTGTTTAGTGGTTTGTTTTTTGGTGTTAGTTTTCTTGTTGTTTTGGTTTAGCTCTGGTAGCATTGTATAGTTGTGGTAGGGCCTGGGGAAACAAAAATACGTCAAAGTGAACTACTCAATGATTTGCAGCCGCATTCGCATCCACATCCACAAACGACAAATCAGCATACATTTGATAGGTTTCTCAATACTCTAAAATGACTAGACCAAAAACACATTTTTTTTCACTCTGTTTGGATCGTGAGATGATAAAATAAAGAAAATGATTGGAGTTTCTCACCTAAGTGAAAATATTATAAATATATATATATATATATGAGTGCGGTTTCTAACAGAAAAATCACAGATTGATCACCTAAAATAGATAGATTAACCAAAATCAATTGAAGCAATTAAAGGTGGAGAAATGAAGATGCGAAAAGGAGTAAACCTTGGCGATGTTGAAAGCTTGTTCAGATTTCTTGAGAGTGAAAGTCTTCTTTTGCTCGTCGACTGAGACGGCCATTTTGATGGAACAACTGCCAGAAGAGCGCGATGATGAAGATGGAGAGGGGGTTGAATTGGGTCTCTGAGCGAGTTTCGAAGACCACGATAGCCCTAGACCAGCCACACCTGCTGCCATTGCTTCTCTCTCTCTCTCTCTCTCTCTCTCTTAGTTTCTCTCTCGCTTTATCTCTCTCTCTCTCTCTGAGTCTCTGTCTCTGAGATACGATAAGATAGGGGTGAGCATGGACCGGATTGGGAGAAAACCAAGACCAATCCGTTATCTACGGTTCCTGAAAAATTAAAACCAATCCAATCTATTTAAATTGTAGAACCAATCCGAACCAATCCGTTGAAACACGGATTGGATCGGTTTAAGACCACGGATTTAAATAATTAAATAACAAAAAAAATATAGACATTACATTTTCATTCCAATAACAACATAGCTGCTGAAAACCTGTAAACAATATAATTAAACAACATCCATTCCAATAGCAGCCTGTATAAATAAAGATCATTAGGATTTCTTTTGTTAGGCTTTTTAATTTTGTAAACCAATGGCTAAAAATACTTGTTAGGAAACCATTCACTGAACTGGTTGAGGTCACAATTTTCACCACTAAGTTAAGTTGAGACCAATAAACAAAAATTATAATATATGTTAGTTTTGCACTCAAGACACAAAATGGGTCCCTTTCTTTAGGTGCAAAGCAAACAAAATGGGTCTTTTACCCCATTCTAAGAACAGAATCATTAATCATTAATCAGTAACTACCACCAATCTTAGTAAACAACTAAGATAGATCAATAAATTTCAAGTCCCTATTTTAATTAAAAGCATTCTTATATTTTATTAGTAAGAGATGCACATCCAGAGAAAACTGTGTTAGGATGTAATGTTATAAATGTTGTACAAATTTGTGGGTATTATTGTAAATATTCAAATGAGGGTTTTGTCAAATCTTTCCCATATATGAATATACATTCTCAACCCTGTTTGGGTCCTCCAGTATTTTATGGTATTGGAGCCAGAGCCATCTCTCTCTTATATACTTTGTCTCCCTCTTTCTCTCTTACTGATATGGCCATCAGCTCTTTCCACTTTCTTCTTTAACTGTTCATCTCCACAATATTATCAACCATGTATCTGTTAAAATTTGATTAAAAAATATTCTGTTATGGAGAGACCAATTTACATTGATCCTGATTTGCAATGACCCATTTGGCTATATAGATGGCACAATTGTTGCACCCTCAAGAAAGACTGCTGATAAAGAAACTCATAAACAGGTTAATAATCCAAGCTATAAATCATGGGTTCAAATGGATCAAAAAAAAAACACAGAAAACTCAGTCTGAGATAAAACAGAACAAAACCAGATAACATGAACAATCACATTTCAGAGTGTGACATAATGAAAACATAAAACATAAACAATCGATCTAAATAAAAACATAATGAAAACATAAAAATAATAAAAATAAAAACAGAAAAAAAAAAAAATCTCCTACTTACATTTACCGAATCCATTGTAGATGACATGAAACAATCGATCTATGGATGATCTGGGAACCCATTTCAGAGTGTTAGAGATTAAACCTATTTCAGAGTGTTAGAGAGAGAGAGAGAGGAGCTCACCCAAAGAGGAAGACAAATAAACAAAAATAGTCACCGATCTGAGAGAGAGAGAGATGAGAGATGAGAACACCGAGAGAGAGAGAGAGAGAGCTCACCGACAGGGAGAGACGAGCAGCAGCACACCGATCTGATCTGAGATGGATGAGAGTGTGAGAGAGAACTCAGTCTGAGATGGGAAAGAGAAGAGAGAGAGACACCATCGATATAGAGACCTGAGAAGAGTGAGAGGCGTGAATGAGTGAGGTGAAGCTGCTGGACCTCGATAAGGTTTACATTTTAGTATTTATGTCATATAAGAAATTATATGGTGTGTGGGAAGGTATATAGTATAAAAATCAACAATGATAGAGAGCCCTAATTTCTGTGGCTCAAATGGCTCGAATTTGCCAAAACGACGTCGTTTTGAGTACAAAACAACATCAAAATTGCCAAAACGACGTCGTTTTGGCAAATTCGAGCCATTTGAGCCACAGAAATTAGGGCCCTCAAACATTTTCCGTATAAAAATCAATCCCATTTTGTAGCTCGAGTTTTTTGTGGCTCGATTGGCCCGATTTTTGACTTCCTCTGTTTCTTCTCTTCTTCTCCCTCTTCTCTCATTCCCCTATTTCTTCTCTTCTTCTCTCTCTGTCCATCTCTCTGTGTCTCCCTCTATTCAATCACCAAAACCATCAAACCTAAAAATCTGGGAAAGATGGGTTTGAAACCCAAAAACCAAAACCAATCAAAAATCAAAACCCAGAAACCAAAAAAACAAAACCAGACAAATCAAACCCCAAAACCAAAACCAATCCAAAATATATATATATATATATAATCTTTAATCTTCATCATTTACCTCTAAATCGGGATTAGAATCCAAGAAAGACGCAGCAGAAGCAAATAATTTAGCGACCGTGCTAGGGAGCTAGAAAACGAGCTCCCCCGAATCCCCCTAATCTTGATTTTTTTTTTCAGAAACAGAGAAGGAGAAGAGAAGGGAGGCGGAGGAAGGAGGAAGGAGGTAAGAAATTATATGGTGTGGGAAGGTATATAGTATAAAAATATAGATTATTTCTAGATGGTCCGGATCGGTTCCAATCCGGAACCGTGGAGTTCAATCCGGAACCGATCCGTGGCCTACGGATTTTGAAATTCTCAATCCGGAACCGAAATACGGATTCAAAAAATCAATCCAAACCTATCGAATTGGACTGGACCGAATCGAATTATGAATTTTACGAATTCCTTAGACAGCCCTACGATAAGATATGATAAAATTGGATCGGAAATTTTCCTCTTATTTCTTGTTTCACGAATTTACCCACAGATTTGAAAAAACAAAAGACAAAAATTCACACACATCTTTATTTACCTTTTTATTTTATTTTTTTAAAATCACTTCTGAAATTTAAGAACCAAATATATAATTTATAAATATTTTTTTAAAATTTTAAAATAATTTTAGATTTCTAAATTCAACTTGATAAGACCAATTGAAAAATTTTTAAATTTTAAAAAAATTTAAATTGCGTTTGCTAGAGTTTTCTAATTATGATTTGAGAGTAGAAGTTGTATTTTGAGTTTGTGAGTTTTGGTATTATAATTTGAGTGTGAAAATTTTGTTTGCTAAAAGAGTTTTAAATTGAGTGAGAAATTTTTAATGTGACATTTGATATTTGATACAAAAACTTACAACTCATAACCAAACATACAATTCAAAATTTTATTAAAACATATAAAAAAAATTTAAAAATTTGAAAATTATTTTTTTCGAATATATAAAAATTAAAATATGTCAATTGCAAAAAAAAAATTGTATTGTTCCAGTCAACCTGAGTCAACCGGCCGGACGACCGGAGACTGGTTAGGCCAAATTTTATAAAAAAAATTTGAAAATCGCGCCTCGCACACAGAGTTTTTTGCAGAGTTGTGAAAAATTAATTTCAAAGCTCTATCCAAACATCATATTGGAACGGGGGTAGAATCAACGTTTAGAAATCGTTCCAAACACAACCTTAGATACTCATGCCATAAATCTATTTTTTTAATCTTTAAAGTCATTAAACTTGGAATCTAATCTTTTTGAATCAAAAGGACACAATTTGTTTAAAAGAACACTATTTATTAAAATCAAATCAACTTATCTCTTGAATTGACCTTATTTGTCAAACTTTTAAAATTTACCAAACTATCTATTGAAATGTGACGCTTGTTACTCATTCAACCCTCTATTTATTAATTATTATATATTTTTCTACTTCACCACTACCATCTGTTGTTGTCGATGACTTTTTCAACGCTATTTACTTGCTTGGTTGTGTTTTTTCAAAAACACTTTTCAAAAAATTATACTTTTTTGGTTTCCGTATTTTTTTGTTTTTATCTAATTTTTTTAATAGCTTAAGCAATTTTTTTTACTTTTTAGACATACCTAACATAAATATACCTAAAAAGTAAAAAAATTGTGAAAAAAACTTTTTAAAAATTCACTAAATACCAAAAATACAAAAAAAAATACGAGAATTCAGTACATTTTTTATATTTTTATGTATTTATTAAATTTTTAAAATATTTTTTCATAAATTTTGTACTTTTTAGATACATCTAAGTAAAGTGCATCTAAAAAGGTAAAAAAAAATGTTTAAAATTTTAAAAATATTTACTAAAAACAAAAAAACACGAAAACTAAAAAATTGAGTTTTCAAAAAACTTAATTCAAAAAATTCAAACCTTTCCAATATATCCCTATCACCAAATAAATTTTTTTCTTAGATCTAATGCCATATGTATTCTTTAAGACGAATTTTTTCACCGATTTTTTCAGTTTAGAAAAGAGAAAAATGAGCAAAAAAAATAGTGGACTTTTATTACTTATTTTGGCTTTTTTAATTTTTTTAAAGAATTACTTTGGAGATTCATCTCGACAAGAAGGATTGAAAAGTAAAAAATGTTGACATTTATAAATCACTAAAAACATTTTTAAAAAAACAATTGGAAAAAAAGTGGCTTATATAGAACTTTCCAAACCAAGGCGTTAGTGGTCTTATATGACGGCTCCAAGACTGCATCCAACTGTGCTTATCTTATTAAATGGACCTCCAAACTGCGGATGCAACGGGCCAAGTCTAAGTTACAGGTCTGACCCGGTCCGACATTAGTTTTGAAAGTTTAATTTTAAGCCCATCTTGAAATTATATTACAATTTTAAAGTCAATTCAATAAATTTATATATTAAAAAATAAAAAACAATGCAATATAATAAAAAATAATTTTTTTAGAGGTCAGATATTTGCTAAAATTGGACTTCTCTCTAGTGCAAAATTTGATTTGGATGGTGCTAACCAAGTTTGCGAGGTCTATCACAGGTCTAATTTGATGATTTGAACTATTTATTTTGTGAAGTACTTCATGTATGTTATTCATGAAAAAAATTAAATCAATCTAATAATCATAACCTCTTTATTTTATCTCACTTGTTTTTAAAAATATAAATGGTCTATTTTCCAAATATGCTTGTTTTCCATTGACCATAAAAAATATTTTCTGTTGACTTATGTCTTCCATTGGAGTTCGGATCCCCTCCTTGAGAATCCTACTTCATTTCCTCCTTGCAACGGCTAAGATCAGTCGTTGCAGATCCAACGATTAAAAAATAAAAAATAAAAAAATATGAAATTTTTTTAATGAAATTTTCCCGCCCGTTGCTATACATACACATAGGTTATACATTTGAGTCACTCTCACTCAGCCTCACACTCACCCTTTCTCCTTCATCAAAGCCAGTCTCACCGGCGACCACTTCCAATAGTGACCTACTCCCGATGGCGACCCCTTAACCCAACCGACCACTCCAGTCCTCATTTTATTTGCTTTGCGAACTATAGCTCCACCACGACCACGACCATCATATGCATTAGCGAAGAAATTTGTTGAGGAAAAGGTGGGTTCTCAAGCCATGGATGAACCAGGTTTGTCCTCGAAATACTAAAATAAAAAAGTTAGGATTGTGATGGACAAAATAGATTTGAAATTTCAAAATTAGGGCTTTGATTAGGGATTCCAACACGCAAAAATTAGGGCTTTGATTTCGGTGTTATTGACTTGATATTTGTAGTGCTATGACCTTCTGGATTACTTCCCATCTCAAATTAGTTCCCATCTCAGATTAGTTTGTTGTGTTTTATTTTCTGATTTTACCTTCCATCTCAAAAATTTTGGACTACAATATAATTTAGGACTACACTACAAACTTTAGTCATAGCACGGTAACATGGATATTGACAAAATTTTACCTTCCATTATAGCACAACACTACAAATTTCTTGTCTATGAGACTTTGGGACTTTGGGGCTTCTACTAGCGTGATTTTGACATGTGGGTAACATGGACATTGACATGATTCTCTGTCTCTCTCCTCTGGAAATATGATATTCAAATGCTATGTTCATATATTTGTTTTCTTGTGAAAAAAAAAAAGACTGACATTAACATGATTCTCTGTCCCTCTGCTTTGAAAATTGTGTTGTTATAAAAAATTTATAATTTAGGACCATCAGCAACGTAAGATTACAGCCGAGACTGTGCAATTGTGGAAGAACCGCTTCCATATATATTGTAAGAACCAATGAGAATGGAAATCAAGGGCGTTTATTCTTTGTTTGCCCATCAAAATATATAAGTATGTATTGGAAAATTTAATCCTTTAGTAGTGACAAATTAATTTGTCTTATTTAACTGACTGATTGTCATGCATTATAGAGTAACACTGCCCATTGCAATTACTTCAAGTTCGTGGATGAAGATGATGAAGACATTATGTCCAGAATCCGTTCCAACACTAGAATTTGTGATGCTATAACAGTAGAAGACCTTAATGATGTAAGGACGAGGCTTGATGACATGGAAAATGACTATGGTCGAAGGCTGGAAAGGATGGAAAATAATTTGAAAGCGACGGTGTATTTCATTGTATTTTCTATCATTTTGTACTTTATGATGTAACTTTTATACTTTATTGTATTTTGGAAAACTAAATGGAAGTTTCTACCATTTTGGGTTTTATTGTACTTCATGATGTAACTTATGCTTATGGAATGAATTTTAAAGTTGAACATATAACAAAGCTTACTTCATTATGGAATGAATTTTGGGAAACATTGGTTTCATTATTAGAGCTTACTTCCAAATGTTGTCTTAATTATCGTATCTTAATTATGTATGCAGATTTAAAGTTGAACATATGTATGCAGATTTAAAGTTGAACATAATGTATGCATTTAG